TACTTATCAAAAGAAGGTTAATAAGATAGAATTGAAGACAACAGAAAGTCAAACATAAAGGAATTGAGAACTAGAATAGTCATGAAATATGTAAAGGACAATTGATGGAAGATTTACAAATGTATTAATATCTGTATGATTTTCACAATTTCAATACATTCTATGAATCAGTTATAAATATGAATTGTAGATCATATACACTAAATATAAACATTTCCATTACTTCTTTTATATTTTAAATACCTATACAAATATTAAAAAAAGATGAATTGAAACACGAATATGCATAATATCCAACTGGGTTAATTTCAACTACTACTACTTTCGAAGTAATAGAAAACTGAATAATTATCAAAACGAGGAAAAAAATTGTTTTCTTTTTTTTAATTATTCAACTGACCAGAATTGAAGATTGACATAGAGTAAATCAATTATATTCAACTTTGTATTCATTATCGAATTACATGTTACATTTTCAAATGCAAATATGTGTATAGTTTAATTATTTGCAATTGTGTTTAAATGGACTTATTTTAAAAGAATAAAACAAAAATACGATTTTTCAAAATAATTTCTTTTGAATTTTTATATTATTCTGTTACCTTAGTAACTTAATACGCCCTGATAATTAAAATTGTTTTCTTTTTCTAGTATCCAATGTTATAAACTAAATATATGAGAATTGTTTAAAAAGTATTTTCTAGCTAGTTATTACCTTTGTCTTCTACCACATGATGTGCATATGTTAGTGTTAATGTAATAATATCTTTGATGTATTTTTTTTAGTCTGATCAAAGTTCAATTTTCTAGCATTGATTAAGTTTTCTTATTCATTTTGAATGAATATTCTCAGCCTTAATATTGAATAGTTTCAACTTATTAGAGAAAACGAATACTTTTCATTGTAACTAATTAGAAAAGTACTTTACTAGTTATTTCTCGATCTATATTCAATGCTTTCATGTCAGTTACGCTACATTCTTTGATTTGAACTCAGTACTTTGTTAACAAGTCAATAATCATTGATCCAGGATAGGAGCTCAATGTATATCTGTTCGAAATACTATACCTCACACGAACACAGCGACAGACAGTGAATTGACACCTAAGGAAGTAAAGAAAGAAAAAGTATTATCGAAAGCAACAGAAAGTCATACATCAGAAACAAATTTCAAGCAGAACAAATGGCTTCGATAAAAAAGTTCAGGAATGATAACCTACTTAATATTTAAAAGGGTATGGAGAATGACATCGACTGTGATTGGTTTAGAATCATATCACCCAACAGCTCCAGTATTGAATGGGTAACCACCGGGAAGTTTTCATTTACCGATATGACTCTGACATTCAACCAATGACCTCATGAAATAATATTATGTTCTGACATATCCACTTGTAGTACTTTTACAATAGGCTCCTATGTCACCCAACACTATATTGGAGTAGACAGTGACATCAAGATATTTCATTAGAAATAGAAAAATAATTACTGACTGAATATTTTAGTTCGACTAAACTACTGATTATAAATTTTAAGGAGTGATTATTTATGGTAAATTGAACAATGACCTTATTTTATCGAAGTTATAAATACTAGAATAATCATGCGAAAAAGATTAAATTTTTGAACCAGTGAATTAAATTTTTCAAACTAATCACAGTATAATTTTATCACTTAAGTATTTCCGTTGTTATTATCATTTTTATTACATTACTTACTCTTGTTACTCCTAATGGAGCATTCTACAACCCACTCTGTCCTGAGCCTTCTTTTCTAATTCCATCCAATTCTTGTTATTTTTTCTCTTGTCTATCTCCATTTCTCAACGTAATGTGTTCTTTGGTCTTCCTCTTTTCCTTTGGCCTTGAGGATTCCATGTGAGGGCTTGCCTTGTGACGTAGTTGGGTGCTTTCCTCAATGTGTGTCCCATCCACTTTCAGCTCTTCTTCCTAATTTTTCGCTACACTAGGATCTGGTTTGTTTTTTCCCATAGTAGGTTGTTGCTGATAGTGTCTTGCCAACAGATCCGAAGTATTTTTCGTAGACGGCTGTTAATAAACACTTGTATCTTCTGGATGTGGAGTAATGAAGTCCATTCAATTGATTGTTCCACAATGATCCGTAGAGTTGCGATTCGGTCTGTACACAATCTATCCTTACGGAATCCTGCCTGTTGGTCACGAAGTTGGGCGTCTACGCAGTCCTTCATCCTGTTTAACAATACCCTGTTGAAGACTTTTCCCGGTATTGAGAGAAGAGTGATACCATTGTAGTTATCACACTTGCTGAGATCGCCTTTCTTCGGTATTTTGGTCAGGAGTCCTTCTTTCCAGTCTGTTGGTACTTGTTCCTCATCCCAAATCTTATTGAAGAGAATGTGGAGTATCCTTGCAGTTGCCGCTACGTCTGCTTTTATTTCCTCTGCTGGAATGTTGTCTGGTCCTGCTGCTTTGCCACTCTTGATTTGTCTGATGGCCATGCTGATTTCTTCAATTGTTGGTGGGCCAACATTGATTGGGAGGTGCGTGGGTGCTGCTTTGATGTTGGGTGGGTTCAGTGGAGCTGGTCGATTCAAGAGTTCTTTGAAGTGTTCTACCCACCTGTTTCGTTGCTCTTCAATGTTGGTGATTGCCTCGCCTTCCTTGCTTTTCACTAATCGTTCTGGTTTGCGGCGATTTCCAGAGAGTTTCTTTGTTATGTCATACAATTGTCTCATGTTTCGTTCTCTTTCAGCCTTTTCCGCCGTCTTTGCCAGATCTTCCATATATTTACGTTTATCGGTTCTGATGTTCCTCTTCTCTTGTTTGTTTACTTCTGTGTATTCAGCTTGTGCCTTGGCTTTTCCTGCTCTTGTTCGACTGATATTGATTGCCGTCTTCTTGTTCCTCCCTTCTTGAATCTTATCCAGTGTATCGACAGTGATCCATTCCTTGTGATGGTGCTTCTTGTGACCCAGGACCTCATGACATGTTGAAGTGATTGCCTCTTTGATTTCCTTCCAGTTGCTCTCCACAGTAGTTCCTTCTCCATTGAGTAGATCATGAAAGGCCTGGAACTTGTTGCTGAGGACTATCTTGAATTTGTTGAGTTTGTTCGTATCCCGAAGAAAAGCTGTATAAAAGTTTGTGATGTTGTCCAGTGCTTCTTGAGTTTTAATTTCATTTTGGCTTGTTGTTATCAGTAAGTAAATAGAGTACTTATCACTGGTCAGAAACAGCTTCATGGTTATTTTAAACTGGAAGTTTTCTTATAGGCAAAGATGGATGGTAGCTAGCAGTCGAATCCAGGATTCACGTTTCGTCCTATTCGAGACTCGTCAGCTGGATGTACCTGCATCCCAGAATTGATGTTCACTCCGGGACTCGAACCCAGTACTGTTCGCATTATCCACTTAGCTACTGAGTTCAGATAGTCACTAGCTTATACGATGAGGTGAAGTTTTAATTCATTTCGTGTTAATTGTTTAAATCTTCCCAATGATGTTTAGGACTGCAATTGATCAGTCTCTTATTGGCATGTGTGAATATTGTGCGGATTACCGCGATATTGCCTTAAGTCACAAGTATCATCATCAAAAATGGATGGTCTTCTCTTCTATGTTGATATATATTCTGACATCAGATTTTTACGACACAGAATGATGACCATACGATCCCATCGAATAATCACTGTTATATTACTAATGTCTTTGACGCGAATGTTGTTTAACTAAAACATTTTTCTTAAAAATCCACAAAATTTGAAAATATTTATGTGGGGGTGAAATTCATATGAACCACTGCTAAATATTGAGGAATATTATGTGTTACACTAAATCAATGAAGTTACCATTTTGTTACCTATCTGTTTTAGTCAATGTCAAAACAATGAATAAAGACAAAAGCCAATATTTCATTTGTGAAGGTGTGAATCTTTCCAATTTATTGATATTAAGGACTATAACTGATCAGTTTCTTTTTGTTATATATGCACCATGAGCGGATTGACTCATTATCGCTATTGTGTTGCAAGAATCTCTATGCAAAGTTCGATATTGGCGATCAGTGTGAATATCAACACTGTGCTATTTGTTCATCCAGCTGACGAGTCCCAAATAAGATTAAATACATTTCTTGTATTCTACTACTGGCTATTATTAAACTGTTTTAAAAAAAAATATATGGGTCTTTTTTATAATTAATTATCATTAATTTTCATCAACTCTTGATTAGATTCTTCAATAGTTCGTTTTACTTCGCTTCATTTTACCATTTACACTTAAAAAAAACCAATCGTTACAGGATGAATAGTAATAGTGGTAGTAATAATGAAATAAAGTATTTCTATTCTTTTCATATTTTATGTTACAATTCAATAGAAGCTATTACTTTGATTAAAAATCTATTTTTCATTTGACGACTACAAAATAAGTAGTATACTGTTCAGTTTATAAAATGAAAAAAAACTTTGTTAAATTAACCTATAATGAACAAGAACCAATCATATTGAATTGATTAACTCGAATGTATTGAATTCACTTTAAAAAAACAAAACAAAACAAAGCAAATAACAGTATTTGTTTTTCTTTTTTACTCAAAGGAAAATACATTTCCCATTCTCAACAGAACACTTTACATATAAAGTATAAAAAAAAAGTACATTCGAATAAAACAACAACAACAACAACAACAAAGAAAGAAGATCAACTTCAAGGAAACAAAAGAAAGAAAATGTAAATGTGTGTTCAATTTGTTTAAATGACAAATAAATGTGTTTCTGTATAGTTTCATGATAATATTTCCTTTATTAGTTATAACTTTAGTTAAACATAATTTATGATGATAATGATGTTGATGATGGTGATGATGATGATGATGATGAGGGTGATGAAGTAACGCCCAATTTTGTAAATCCATATAAATATTTCAATCATTTCATTTTGTTTTTCTATTCGTTTCATTACTGTACTTTATAATTTAATAATATTGTCAAATATTATATTATAATAATTTATACAGTAATGACAACTGTTTCACCAATGAATAATGAAACAAATGATTATGAAGAATTTTTAAAACAATTCAAATTATTAAATACTATATCAGCGGAATTTCGTAATGTATGTACAATACTTGGTACAGAATTAGATTGTTCATTAGTAAGAAATAATCTTATTAATTTACAAAGATATATGATGTATGAATTACAAAATACTCAATATCAATTAATTAAATGTTGGCGTAATGCTAATATTGGTTTATCAACTAATATAACAAGTGAACAATCTGATCAATTATTTTCTGTATTTACAACTTATATTGAATATCATATGAGAGCATTATTAAAAACACTTCATTTAATAACATTATTTCCTTCAATAAATTTACAATTTAATTCTAATACTACTAATATAAATAAAAATGATGATCAAGTAGAAGATAAAAAATCTGAAAATCATGAATTTATCAATCATGAAATTGTAATACAAAATGATTCATCATGGATATTAGCATCTAATAAATTATTACAAACTAATATTAGTTCATTAATTAATACTGGTTATACTAAATCATTAGAATTAGGAATAGATCAGAATGATATTTCATTGGTATTAGCTGATAAAACTAATATAGACAATAATGATGATGATCATGATGATGATGATGATGATGATAATGATCAAAATAAGACAGGGAATTCAAATCTCTCTGAAATCGATATACTGAAAAATGAATATTGTACTTTACAAGCTGCATTACATGATATTTCGGTATGTTTGTTTGTTTTTTTCATTGGAATTTTCGTTTAATAAGAATATTTATTTTATTCAACGTGTTTTTATGATAAATGTTTGTCAACTAGAATACTCAAATATAAGGAGTGGAGTTCAGTAAATGTTTAAGTATACAAGATTTTGACTGCTCGCTATAACATGAAATAACTAAAAAGAGATTATGAATTAATGATCTGATCAGTCTTAATTAAACGATTACGTCAATAAATGATATCTTCTTAAAATATGATCTATGCAATCTATCGATATAACTACAAGGCCTAGAATGGTTTTAAACATTCCTTTGATTCAATTAGACTTGAAATCATCAAATAAACAGAAATTTATGAACTTTATAAAATTGGTGAAGAACTATCGACTGATTTAATGATAAAGATTTATAATTGACATCATGAACCGACTGATGTTAGACCAACACAATTGAAAACCTGGAAGCACTGGACGGCCTTTTCGCCCTATTGTGGGACTCCTCAGCAGTGCGCATCCACGATCCCGCGAGCGAGATTCGAACCCAGGGCCTTCGGTCTCGCGCGCGAACACTTAACAAACTGGACCACTGAGCCGGCATCCAATGGTGATAGTTTCTAACATCAACCAATCCACGAAACTGCGCTACCAACTGTCGTTGTACTGAGGTAGATACCTGTCTCTACCCGACACGGATTAGATCCACTGGTCATGGCTTGTCACTAGAACTCCGAGAATTCCCTCACGAAGCTAATCACTAGTGAGCACATGTTGATTACTAGTATAGGGGTTGTGGAGATTTACTTCAATAGTCAGCTTAAACTTCTGGATCATTTGACAATTCTTTTTTTAAAATAAGACGAAACATACATCCTGGATTCCATTAATAGCTCAATTCTATCCAATCTATATAAACTTTCTAAGTTATGTTTCTATCGAATAATCTTGGATGCTAAACTTATTATCTATGAACACGCTGCTATAAAAGTTTTACAACTTATGTTGAAGGTGAGTACTTTAAACAAAATGACCATAATTTGCAGCATTTTCTGAGCTTAACATAATCTTAACAAAAAAAAGAATTAATTAAATTATGGGTATTAAATATATCATAAATGAGAATATCGCTGGAACTAAATTTGTTACAATGTTTATTGTCCCTAAAGGTTTTTCCCATAGCAAAATTTATGGTACTTAATAAAGAGATTATCATAAGTACAGGCCATATATATGCCTATTCAAACATCTTAGAAAACAGTGATAGTTAAGTTACTATAGAAACGACTCAGTTAAAGTTTCAATAAGTCAACTAATTAATCTTAATAATAATTATATAAAACTGTAGTTTCGACACATTTTAAAAACCACATGTATCGATTCATATTTAAGTCTAGTAGAAATAAATGATACAAAAAGTGAATCCACAGTAGAGATTTTGAATTAAAAAAACAAATAATAAGCGGTTAACTGCTCGACCTCTTTTAGAGCTTCTTTATCAAGTGTGGCTAGGTTGGTGTTCTCCATGTTGTATTTGAGGATCTTCCTTTTCCCTTATGTATATTTAGATTTAATGCTGCAGAGGCTTCTGCTTTACTAGCTGTCTTCAGCTGCATTTGTTCGTGTGTATGGGATAGAAAGGCTATGTCATCTTCGAAGTCCAAATCGTCTAGTTGCATCCAACCTGTTCATTATATTTCGTGCTTCCCTTCAGATGTGGAGGCCTTCATGATCCAGTAGACCATCCGAAGAAAGAGTAAGGGTAAGAGTAAGCAGCCGGTCCTTACTTCGAATGCGTCTGTCAGCTGTCATCTATGCACCAATTTGCAATGTAGTCCATCGTGTGAATTCCGTAGAATGTTGATGATTTTTTCAGGTACGCCATATTGCCGAAGAAGGTTCCATAAAGTTCTTCTATCCACACTGTCAAACACCTCATAATCAAGAAAGCTGATGTATAGTGACGAGTTCCATTCATTCGACTGTTCAACGATGGTCCATAGTGTTATGATTTGGTCTGTGCACGACCGATGCTTACAGAATTCGACCTGTTGATCTCGATGCCGTGTGTCTACTGAATCTTTCAGCTGATTCGTCAACCCTCTGTTGAAAACTTTTCCTGGCACCGATAATACTGTGATATCTCTGTAGTTTTCACATGTGCTCAGGTCTATCTCGTTTTGTATCTTGAGAACGTATCCTCGTTCCCAGTCTGTCGGCACTTGTTCTTCCTCCCAAATCCTCCTAAATAGAACGTGGAGCATTTTTGCTGTTTCTTCTATGTCTAATCAAAGACTAACTTTGAGAAGTAATTCCTAGGATTCTATTGAGAAGGCATGACTAGTAGAACTCAGCCGTATCGGGAGTAAGCTAGATGTAACCAGTAGCAATGGTCGTTATTTATTCAATATTAAGAACTGATTGAAGTTAGAAATAAAACCTACTTGAGTTTAACTCAGTGATCTAAATGTTAAGTGCTCATCACAAGGCCTAAATCTCCTACATTCGATCCCCCTTAGGGTTATGGATGCGTAAAGCTACGAAATTCCATATTAGAGTGAAATATATACCTAGCAATTTCTGATTCTCATTAGTTCACTAAATAAATTAAGTTCGCGATTAAAGAAACTACAAATCCACATGTTTCAAACCGTTTCTATTACGTTAGAAAAATATTATACATCAATATAATCATGATACCTGATATAAATAAGTTAAGATATTTTTAATATCCCAATGAACAGAAAAATTAAGTTTTCCGCCGTTTTATGACTCAATGTAAGCCACTACTTCAGAAAATAAATAACCAAATCAAAATTAATCCAAGTTTAAATAGGTACTATTTTCTACTGATTAGGTTACTACAAATATACTAATTTATTTGTAACAATCTACCCTCATGCTCAATTTATTCGAAATTATCAAGTTAAACCTTAGTAATGATACCTACATGATTTCGGATGTTACAATACAAAACAGTTCTTGATTGAAATCATGAGTCAGTTGAAGGTAGTTCACCATAGAAAACCTGGAAGCACTGGACGGCCGTTTCTTTCTATTGTGAAACTCCTCAGCAGTGTGCATCCACGATTCCGCCCGACGCGAGATTCGAACCCAGGACCTATCAGTCTCGCGCTAGGCGCTTAACCACCTAGACCACTGAGCCAGCATCCAATGGTGTTAATGTCTAACCTCAACCAATCCACGAAATCGCGCGACCATCTTCCATTGTATTGAGGTAGACACCTGTTTCTGCCCGACACGGATTAGCTCCACTGGTCACGGCTTCTCATCAGAACTCCGAGAATTCTCTCAAGAATCTAGTCACTGCTGAGGAGTTCCACAATAGAATGAAACGGCCGTCTAGTGGTTTCATGTTTTCCATAGTGTTCTAGCTTCAATTGACTCATGATTTCAATCAAAAACTTAACAATCTCCACAACATCTAAATTGACAAAACAATTCATTCTATTAAATGTTATCAATTACAATTTGTTTTGTTGTTTGTTTTTTTTCATTTATTATTTTTTTCTTCTGTCTTTTATTAATTCATTTCTTCTAGTCATTAGTTTGTGTTACACCATGGAATGTATTGGCATTTCCTGTTGATATAGAACAACGTTTATCTTTACAAGAATCAACATCAACTATACATCCACGTAAAAGTCAATTAAGTAATCGTTTACAAAGTTTTAATAAAAAAAATACATTAAGTAGTATAAATTCATTAAATTTAAGTACAACATTTGGACAAAATAAAATACATATTTTACCTACTATAAATGAATTACCAATTCATTATAAATTATGTGATATATTAAAAAATTATATAAAAAATAAAAGAATTTTTGCATTTCTATTTATTGGTACGTTTATAATTACAGTTTTAATTATTCTATTAATAATATTCATTGTCATATATCCTAATCTAAATAAATAAATAAACCAAAAATTAAATACCCTTTTATTTTACATTTAAGTAATAAAGTAGAAATAGAAATGATTATTCTCTTTAATTTTTCTTTAATTTTAATTAATCTCATGTAATTTTAGGTAATATTTTATGGATTAGAATTTTTAAACCAAAAAAAAATATTAATAATAGTTTTGAAATAAAATTCTTTTTTTCTCTTCTTCTTCTTTTAATATGTTCTTTGTGACGTAACATTTAATTTCAATGATTAAGATCATGAGTCAGTTGAAGCTAGACCATCATGGAAAACCTGGGAACACTGGACGGATGTATCGTTCTATTGTGGTACTCCTCAGTAGTATGGATCTATAACTTTGCCCCACTGCCAGATTCGAACACAGGACATACTGGTTTCGCGCGCGAGCACTTAACCACTAGACCACTGAGCCTGCATCCAATGGTGTTAATGTCTAACTTCAACTAATCCACGAAATTGAGCGACACATCCACCATTGTCTTTAGTGAGTCACTATCTTACAACAGACCTGGTTGAACTCCACTGGTCACTACTTCTCACTAGAACTCCAGGATATACCTCTTGAAGTCAGTCACTAGTGAGCATATGTTGATTAATATCAGATGAGTTTTGTGAATATTATATTAATTTCAATGGTTAAGATCATGAGTCAGTTGAAGATAGACCACCATGGAAAACCTGGAAGCATATTAAATTTGTATCGATAATAGTTAGTTAACAACATCATGGGATGAATTATCATCAGGTTAATTAATATTATAAATAAGTTATAAAAACCAATTTACTATAATCTTAGATATAATGGTTACTAATTTATAACTAATATTGATACCTTATGGGGTTGTGGATACAGATTACTGTCAACTTCCATATTAGGATTAAACAGTTGTCCAGTGTTTTTTTTGTTGATTTGTAATGGTTGTATAACTTAAGTTTGTTTGTCATCTCATTAACATTTAGAAATATTTGCAAGCCCAAATACTAATAACTGTCATGGGCTTACTTTTGACTAATTTTGAAAGGAAGTTGTGACCGGTGAAATTCAACAGTATCCGGGTTAAGGCAGTCAGACATTGAAAACAGTGAAAGATTATTGAGAAAGATCATGAACTATTTGAAGTTAGATATGTAAACCATTGGATGCCAACTAATTGATTCAAAGGTCCATGGGACATATCCCTGATAGTTTCTTCATGGATGAGCATTGCTAAACAGGCCTATACTAGGACAAAACCGAATTCTATCGATCAAGCTACGAAATACAGATATTTTCTATGTGACGCAACATGTCCTGAAGCTGGATAATTGGAAGGAAACCCTTGATCTACGTTTAGTTTTTTCACCACTTATTAGATATAATTAATTGATCGCAGTTCGTACAGAATATGACAGATAAAAAGTGAAAGATCATTGATGAATGATTTATAACTTGAAATTTCATACATAATTACTAATATATTAATTGATAAATAATTAATAATAATAGAATCTTGGTTTATATATAGCACTTTGATTTTTCGATATAATCACTTAGTTGGCCAATGGTTTGGCTCAATCAAAGACGAAGTTGAAATTAAGGGATCAATTCCGTGAACGATATAACAATGTAATCACCATTTTCATTCCCTTTTAGTATTAAATCAACAATGTTATAACAATGCTAACTAGTTAAATCCTCTCTTTCCACTCAAGGACAAATAAGACAGAAGTTTTCTTCAGTGATCCACATGTAACATATGCTCGTGAACGAAGTGGATGAGATGAATTTCCTATAATTTCCCAAGCGCAATTTTACTTACGATATTTTCTTCAAATTCAGAATACGTTTTCTACATATACTTGAATGTCAGATTATCTGCTAATTTAACTTGACTTATAGTTGTATAAACAATAAGTATTGACATCTTTGCTAAATTTCTTAATGTTTATTTTGGTTTTTTTTTTGACAGTCATAAGTAGGGAATTCAGATGACTTACTGTGCACTTGCCATCAAAAATATGATATACAAATGACACTTGATATATTACAATCTCCAACTAAATTCTATGTATTCACTACTCATTTGAACAACTGAACCGGCTAACAACAGTTTATATTTTACAGAGCCTATGCGATTTCGAATAATCAGTTTTCCTTCTCTTTTCAATTTAATACCAACAGAGTATTTTATGAAAATTATAGGATATTACATAACTCCGCCTGTAGCTCTTATAGGGTTACTGCCGGTCCCAAGCCCGGGTAAAGGAGGAGGGTTGGGCATGGGGTTAGCGTCCCCATCCCGTAGAAAACTAACTCGCTAAAAAAACGCTAACCAGAAAAAATAATCCAAACCATTTAAACTCTGCCCTGGGAGTTAGAAGGTCTTCATTTAGAAGAATTATGACGCTTCATGGTGAAAGCCGAGTTCCTTCGGAAGCCAAGAGGCCGATGCCCCTTCTAACAACCAGAGCAAAAATTTTTATAGGTACATGGAACGTTCGAACAATGTGGGAAACCGGGAAGACCAGTCAAATAGCAATGGAAATGAGGAGATACAACTTAGCAGTACTGGGAATCAGCGAAACCCACTGGACCCAAGCTGGACAGAAAAGGCTAGCTACGGGAGAGATGCTGCTATACTCCGGTCACGAAGAGGACAATGCTCCACACACTCACGGAGTCGCTCTTATGCTGTCCAAATTAGCACGAAATGCACTTGTAGGATGGGAATCCCACGGATCCAGAATCATCAAAGCATCATTCAAAACAAAGAAGGAGGGGATCTTAATGAATATTATCCAATGTTATGCACCCACAAATGATAGCAACGACGACATTAAACATCAGTTCTACGAGCGGCTGCAGTCAGTTATTGAGAAATGCCCAAGGAAGGACCTAACTATTCTGATGGGAGATCTAAATGCCAAAGTCGGAATAGACAACACTGGATATGAAGATATTATGGGACGACATGGACTGGGAGAAAGAAACGAAAATGGAGAAAGATTTGCAAATCTATGTGCATTCAACAAATTGGTCATAGGAGGCACAATATTTCCACACAAGCGTATACACAAGGCTACATGGATCTCACCGGACCACACTACAGAGAACCAAATAGATCATATTTGCATCAACAAAAAGTTCCGAAGGACAATGGAAGATGTGAGAACCAGGAGAGGTGCTGACGTAGCTTCAGATCATAACCTAGTTGTGGCCAATTTAAAACTGAAGCTAAAAAAGAACTGGACAAGTGGACAAACAGCAATACAAAGGTTCAATACAGCCTTCCTTCGAGATACTGACAAACTCAATGAATTCAAGATAGCTCTCAACAACAGGTTCCAAGCCTTACAAGATCTACTGAAAGAAGAAGAAACTAGTATGGAGGACAACTGGAAAGGCATCAAGGAAGCATTGACTTCAACGTGTCAAGAGGTTCTGGGTCTAAAGAAATACCATCATAAGGAATGGATCTCTACAGAAACACTGGACAAGATCAAAGAAAGGAAGAACAAGAAGGCAGCAATAAACAACAGCCGAACACGAGCAGAGAAAGTCCAAGCACAAGCTGAATACATAGAAGCAAACAAACAAGTGAAGAGGAGCATTAGAGCCGACAAGAAGAAATATGTGGAAGAACTAGCAACGACGGCAGAAAAAGCTGCTAGAGAAGGAAATATGAAACAGCTTTACGATACAACGAAGAAACTAGCAGGAAAATACAGTAAACCAGAGAGACCGGTCAAAGACAAAGAAGGCAAGCCAATCACCGAAATTCAACAACAGCGGAACAGATGGGTAGAATACTTCGAGGAACTCCTGAATAGGCCGGCTCCAATGAATCCACCGGACATCGAAGCGGCACACACAGATCTTCCCATAGACGTCAACCCACCAACGAAGGAAGAAATCAGAATGGCCGTCAGACAAATCAAGAACGGGAAAGTAGCGGGTCCGGACAACATACCAGCTGAAGCGCTGAAGTCAGACATCGAAGCAACTACAAACATGCTTTATCTTCTATTCAAAAAGATTTGGGAAGAGGAACAAGTGCCGATGGACTGGAAAGAAGGGCACCTCGTCAAGATTCCAAAGAAAGGAGATCTGAGCAAATGTGAAAACTACAGAGGCATTACACTGCTGTCAATACCAGGGAAGGTCTTCAACAGAGTGTTGCTGAACCGAATGAAAGATGCAGTAGACGCCCAACTTCGAGATCAACAAGCTGGATTCCGTAAGGATCGATCATGCACAGACCAAATTGCAACACTACGGATCATCGTCGAACAATCAGTTGAGTGGAACTCATCACTATACATCAACTTCATTGATTATGAAAAGGCATTTGACAGTGTGGATAGGAGGACGTTATGGAAACTTCTTCGACACTACGGAGTTCCTGAGAAGATTGTCAACATTATCCGGAACTCATACGACGGACTACAGTGCAAAGTCGTGCATAGAGGACAGCTGACAGATGCATTCCAAGTAAGGACCGGAGTCAGACAAGGCTGTTTACTCTCTCCCTTCCTCTTTCTTCTGGTGGTCGACTGGATTATGAAGACCTCGACATCTGAAGGAAAACACGGAATTCAATGGACAGCTCAAAATCAATTAGACGATTTGGACTTCGCAGATGACCTAGCCCTCCTATCACGTACACATGAACAGATGCAGATGAAGACAGCCAGTGTAGCAGCAGTCTCTGCATCAGTAGGCCTCAGCATACACAAAGGGAAAACCAAAGTCCTTAAATTCAAAGCGGAAAACAACAACCCAATCACTCTTGATGGCGAAACTCTGGAAAATGTAGAGTCCTTCACATACCTGGGAAGCATCATCGATGAACAAGGAGGTTCAGATGCAGACGTAAAGGCAAGGATTGGCAAAGCAAGGACAGCATTCCTACAGTTAAAGAACATATGGAACTCAAAACAACTTTCAACCAATATCAAAGTGAGAATCTTCAATACCAACGTCAAGGCAGTTCTACTGTATGGAGCTGAAACTTGGAGAACTACAACAACAACCATCAAGAAGGTACAAGTATTTATAAATAGTTGTCTACGCAAGATACTCAACATCCATTGGCCGGATACCATCAGCAATAGCCTTCTGTGGGAGAGAACAAACCAACTTCCAGCTGAAGAAGAAATTAGGAAAAGACGATGGAAATGGATAGGACATACATTACGCAAATCTTCAAACTGCATCACGAGACAAGCCCTAACTTGGAATCCTGAAGGGAAGCGAACAAGAGGAAGGCCAAAGAACACATTGCGTCGGATAATAGAAGCAGATATGAAAACGATGAATTACAACTGGACGCAGCTAGAAAGGATTGCCCAGGACAGGGTTGGATGGAGAATGCTGGTGAGCGGCCTATGCTCCTTCACGAGGAGTAACAGGCGTAAGTAAGTAAGTAATAGGATATTACATACCCAAAATAATAATTACAGAATTTATGCTAGTGTACAGGCATGATTATCCTGATATAGATAGTAATATTAAATGTAGAGGACATATGAAATATTAGATTGCTCGAAGTGCTCTAGTTCAAAATTGTTTAGATAGTACATTTTTCACATGTATTACAGAAATGAAAGGTGTCAACCAGGAACTTTTAATTCTTTTTAGGTGGATATCTTGTTGATGCATGGATGGTGTATTTAAGGTCATTTCCTGAGCCATAACGACCTGACTATAATCATCTACAACTAAAAAAATAGAACGGAATAATAAAAAGCAATAACCATTACGATAATACATGTGCCAGTTTATTTTATGATATGTTCGTGTTAGACATTTTTCAGATTAGTTAAGATTACCAGTGATGATATTAGTGCACAGTGACAGCAGATAGGGAGGTTTACTCAGTGTCCTTAGCAAAAAAACGATTGAACATTTAAAGTTCCCATAACGTAACTTGTGGAATGGGATATACTTACGGGTGTAAGGATATATAAGGGATTTTAAGAGCTGCAACCATGGGACACGGTTTTTGCAGTCTGTCGAATATTAAGTCTGCTTACACCAAGGTCATGACGGGTGTTTTGTGAGTCAGTTGCGCAAAGTATAATTCGTTGATTTAGAAAGCGGGCCTTCGAGAAATCACCTATTGTTTTTGGGTTTAGCTGGGATGATGAAACGGTGGATCAGTCAGTTCTTGTTTGTGTGGCAATGTAAACACCCCCAAGATAGGAAAAGTCAAACCTAATGTTGTGGAGTATATGTTAAATAAAATGCTTCCATGATATCGAATATGCTACACATTTACACGGATTTTCAATTACAAGTTGACCAGAGCTCTTGTGGATTATGAATGATTTTAAATGAAAAAACCTGTAGAAATATGTGAGTAGTCTTAAAGAATTACGATTTACTGCTTACATTTTGATTTAGTTGAATGACATACGTAAGAAATTTAGTTCGAAGTAGACAGAGAAATTTAGTTTCTGTTTGGACTTGATCAAAGTTCATCAGTAAGATAGTTACCTCCATAGTTTTGTAGTAGGAAGTATATATATTCTTATATTCAGTATATTTTGCTGTTTACGGGAGCATGATGAGAACAATCATCTGATTTGAAGTTACTAAACGCATTTAAATCAGGAAATTAGGGTTGGTATGTTCTTAAAAGTGAGAACAACCTACAGGAAATCATACGTTTTCTACAATTTCATATGACTGATAATCCTATCTATATTTTACCACTGCAACCAAAGGCATGAAATTTGTCACAGAAGTACCAGTCATTCACTTCTTTTATAAAAACTGAAATCGAATTACTATTTCACCGAATTGAAATCATGAGCCGATCGATGTTAGACGACTATTGAAAACCTCGACGTTCTAGTATGAGACTCTTCATGAGTGTGCATTCACGACTTTCCACGCAATAATCGAACCTAGGACCTTCAGTCTCGCTTGCGGATGCCTAGACCGCAGAACAAATTGGGGTCTAGTGGTGTTAATTTCTAAGCTCAATTAGTCCACGATATTGCGCAACCATCTTCCATTGTCTTCGATGGGCAACTGTCTCACACCTGACACGGATTAACTCTACTAGTCACGGCTCCTGACTAGAATTCCTAAAATTTCCTCTTGAAGGCAGTTAGTGAAAGCATGATAACAGTCAGTATGTGGTTGCAAAGATTGTTGAATTACATTGAGATAATGGACCGACTTAGCAGTCTACGTATAAAGCGTCCGGGAACGAGATCGAAAGTCCTGAGTCGTGAATGCGCCCTTCTGAGGGGTCCCATACTTCGAGGTGTTCAATGTTGGTCTAACTTGGATCGATGTGATTTTAGTGAAATTCAACAATATCCACAACCCCATTCTGACTTAAACTTTATTGCTCCTGTTTTAACTGGTCAGCTTATGTTCTACTTTTCATATGTTACTTAATGTATCTTAACGTTTTCTATGTACATGTTGCAGTTTTAAGTTGGATTAGTGAGTTCCATTTCTGAGCTTCTAATTTCACAAGAAACATCAGTTTCCTCAGGATTATAAGTACACATTGGCGATGGGTGCTAGCTAGGGAGAAACTTAGGTTCAGGCTTCCTAGTCGACTATTTGCAGCCACCTGATACACCATCCTGAATTTAAATCTTAGTCAACATACACAAAAGTAACCTCATACTGTAAATCTAGGAACTAATACTGAGGTACTTGTTCTAGAAGCTCATAAAACAAAACAATGATAATATATCCGTTCCTAAATATTAACAACTAGAAAAAATTATAAACCCTTACAAATGCTAATAAATAATACTATTTAGGCACATATATATTTTTATAGTAATTCAAATTGTAGTGAAATGCTGTAATTTATAATAAAAACTATAAAGGGTTTAACAAATAATGGATAAAAATATAGTGAAATGAGAAAAGAAAAGGTCAGTGATAAATAATAAGCAATTTGACAATGATGGAGAAAACAGAACAATATACTACTGATGAATTTTCATTGTCTGCACATATCTACCGTAAATGCACTGTTTAAAGTGGTGTTTGTTTACAGTATACAGTTTTATTGATTTTATGCTAAAAGTTAGAAAGGGTGAAATTACCACGAAAACTAATCATCACCATCAAATCAACACTGAAATCGAAAACTTCGAAAGCAAAAATTCAAAACACGTTATATATATGTAGATATTATCCGAGTAGATGAAAATAACAATGACATATTATTCAAGAACATCGAAAATGATGAATTTCATTACAATGAGTGAGTTGTAGCAATATAAATAATAATGGTAACAACACACAATGAATAAATAAGTATAATGATAAAAGAAAAAAACTCAAGTCAAAAATTATAGTTAAGGAAAAAAAAACAAAAATGACAACAACAGAAATGACAACTGGAAAGAAAGATAAAAGCACAACAAATATCATGTAATATGTGGATTATGTAAACCTGAACTGTAAACCTTGAAACATTTTACATTTAAGCTGGAAAATGAAAAAAATCTATACAAAAAAATGCTATCCTATTAAAAAAGAAACCACAACAAATAAACGAAGAAAAAAAACAAGGTTAGGCAAATATGCTACTTAAACAAATAAGCTAAGTATGTTAGGTTGATATTATTAACGACGCCAGAAACCAAGAAGAGCAGATCGCATAGGTCGATAAAAACGAGAATCAAAGTCTAAAAACCATGGATGACCACGAATTGTTGCCATGATTGGTGAATGCACTTCAGCTTCAAGTATAAGTGCTAAACCAAAAATTGAAGCACATGTCATGAAACCAGCAGATACAGCAGCAAAACGCCAAACAGATACTGGTTCGGTAGAAGACTCAGAACCAATATCTGTAACAGAAGTGTCATTATTTGTTAGATTCAGAAGTGATGAATGATTAGCGTTACGGGTATTTTCACTTTGAACAGAAGAGGTTTGCTTATCTTCTTTTTCAGTATTTGATGAATGGAAAAAACTGAACCATGATTTAGCAGGTGAAAGTGATATTCGTTTTTTGTCCTCCTTTAAAACAGGAACAATTAAAAAACTTCAAGTTAACGGAAGAATAATGACTGAACTTGGGAAAAAATTATGTCGAGAAACTTGTAATATATATAGTAGTGTAATAGTAAATAAAAATATTGTATACAAGGTTTAGTGATTCATTAACAATTTGCAGATGGCATTTGCCATCCATCTAACGACATTTAATGAGAAATCTACCATCGATACTCTTGCTCTTAATCATATTTACCTGTTCACAAGTCCTACTCAAAATAATTAGTTGTATTGTATCGTATAATGCCACGTAGTACACAATAAACAATAGAGATAATAATGCTTACTTGTAAATAAGGAAGCCTTAGTTAACAATATGACAAAAGTATAATTTATTGACGAATAAATCAAATTTAAGTTGGGGGTATGGAGTTTTGAGCAGAATTCAAAATGCGATGACGAATAGCTTGTATCGTATTAGGCAAAACCTACCAATGTTTAGTTACTAAGACGCTTAATATTGATAAAAAACATAAGAAGATTACATAGTAGAGATCAACATGAGTGACTTTCAAAATGGAAATGAGAAAGTGATTAGTTTGTTGCCGAAAATATAACGGAAAACAAGTAAAATTAAAACTCGATTATAATTGTTTTTTAAACGTTCGGACCACAAAGTGACAAATTTTGAAGTTAAACATAGAATACTAGGTAAATATGACGAGTCAGTTAATGAGGTTGTAAATCTTTATAAACCAAGGTGATTGAGAGATAGATTACGTATGCTGAATCACAGCCTGCTCCTATGAATGGTATCGTCCGGTGTAAAAGCGGGTTGGTGAACAACAAGGGACGTGTAAACCAAAACGTGAGAGTAACCCATGGACTCATCGACGATTGCACTTAGCCATGTTAATTAGTGAGGACTGTATGGTTAGGTGACGTGGATCAGAGTAGTTTCCGATCATGCAAGTGCATTCACACTCTTCCTTCCTTTACAACCTGATTCGTGAAATCTTCTTGCACCCTTTTCCTTCTATCGAAATCTAATCCCTTCGACTACAACTGATACTGTCACTACTTGTAATACCTTGATATTTTTCCTGATACTATTATCTCGCTGTGCCATTGTGGTGTGGCAACTTGAATTGATGCAAATATGTGTCAGGGTTTTACAGTGCATATAAATGACTGACTGAAAGTTGAAATGTACACATTTCAAAATGATTTATGAACTTTTCAGTCTTGAGATTTCAAATCAAAGAACTATTTACATAAATATTCATCAGTATGGTTACTAAAAGTTCTCCCATTCTAATCCCAGCTCATAACGTCTTCCTTTTGTGGGTTGTTATGTACTAGATTCATTTTTCACCTGATTTTGCAGAGGACACTGGCATCAAGCGATTTATACGTGACCTCTGTATGCAGAAAGAAGGTGCGACAAATCTCTTCTTGCATCGAAAAAATAATGATATGTTTTAACGTTTGTAAATTACATAAACTAATCGCTGTATTCTATAATTAAACGAATCCCACTGATGTTGTTTCACGATGCCAATTTTAATTTTATATTACATATTACCTACGTAGCCTTATTACCTCACATTTATTGAAAAATATAGTTTTTGATTTTGTCTGTTTATCATTATCTATGACATTGTTACATCTGAATAAAATGGTTACGAATCGGATTATTGATTGAGTCTGTGGTTACTACTAATTACAGAACGACTGAGCTAATTCTAAAGTGAATGATTTCATTGGAGGATTCGATTAAAGATAATGTGGTACACAATAGCATTTCAAGGAAAGTTTTGTTTTTGATCATTGAAGTAGAACAACTCAGTTTATATAACAACACTCGATAACCTAGGGATGCAACAAAATTAGCAAATTAGAAGTGACAACAGCCAATCAGATGATAGAAAAGGTCACTGAAGAAATATTAATTAGAAAAGTCATTGACCTTATTCTATAAAGAAGGAATTAAGACATAACAATGAATTAAAAGTAAATAACCTGAGCTCTCGTTGGCAGATATTATCCCCTTCTTTATATGGCTTTATATACGACATATAAATACCCGAAATCGATCCTCACCATTATGTTAAATATGTTGTTTCTTATTCATATTTATGTGTGTTTTATTGGTCGTTTTGAACTCACCCTTATTGATCATCGTGTCTTGAACTATGATGAATTCATGTTATTCCTCAAATCAGATTCTTTTCGATTTATTTAAATATGTTGGGTAGACCCAGAAAGTTCCCCTAAAAAAGCATAAAGGGGTCCTAAAAACGCTGACAAACATTCTATCCAATCATCACTGAGAAGTTTCTCAGAAACATCTAGGAAGTGAAGAGTTGTGTGTTGCATTGGTGATTGGATGATTACCTATCCTGCTAAATACACCCAATTTTCTGTACATAAACTAACCTTGGAGTATGGCGTTCATCCCAAATTTCGCGTTTTTTCCTCAAGTGTTGAAGTTGACGTGTGGGGTTAGTCTGGGGTTATTAGAAGGGCTTAGGAAACCTATTCAAGCGTTCAGTCAGATTTATCAAAATATATTACTGATTAAATGGAAACTGATTATTTTTAAAAATAGCTGAAAGTAATAAGTAAAGTATAATTAGACCGTATTAACTTCTTGTGTTAAACTAAGCCCAGTAAACACATTTTCGTAGTCATAATTCATTGTAGACAAAATCTTACGTGTATTTACTATTACAAGTGCAATAAACACTAATGTTTATGAATCACATTAAAAGATGCAACAAATATTTAGCTGTTTTATTTTTACCTTACCTGTCCTAACTCATTGGTTAACCATGCTTCTCCAGCTTCGGCAGCAGAATTCAGAGCTTCCACTGCAGCTTCTGATGATGTATCATCATTGTCACATTCATCATCAGTATCGAATATATCTGAATGATTTTGTTGATATAATCCATATTTCGACTGTTGCTTCACTAATTTTTGTTTTCGATAGAAAAAATATAAGAAAAACAATCAACAGTATAAATGGATCATACATATCAGTGACCAAATTGTGTTTTGTTCACTATCAGAATATTTTAGAATTTTTATTCTTAGTTTAAAAATGATTTTATGAGAGGATGCTCAATTTCCCAATACAACATTTAAGAAGAAATTACTTTTAAAACGCATTGAATTTATTGAAAGTAAATTCTATTGAAGTAATGATTACTCAGTTAATGAATTGCGTAATTAAACTTTTTTGGTCTCTCTCAATAAAGTTTTTAAAAAGATTTATCTTTGCGGGTAGTTATGGCTAGAAGAGACGATAGAATGTGTATACAATATCGGAGTTGTAGAGTTTTATAAGACGGACTGACTAAATGTTAAAATACTCTTTACTCCAATTCCTCATACACTTAATGGAGTGGACCAATCCTCTTACATTCTTTCAACACTTCTTAGTATTCCTTTTATCTGCCTTATCAACAATTCTGTTATAAACTGACTGTGTGACCGATCAAGAAAATATAAATCGTGCGCACAAAGCCCACTGTTATTTGTCTACATGTTTAAAATTTCTGTGGAAGTATGACGAAGTGTCAACATAATAAAAAGTGACAAAAATAAGTGAAAAAACCTCTTTGGCTGCAACAAAAAAAGGAAGTCTAGCCCAATAAATTTTGATCGTTTACAATGAAAATTGTAGCATCTTCAACATTCACTTATCACCTGTAGTTTTAAAGGTCAATATGTTAATCACATACACATTCGAATTAGAAAAAAAAGATCGAGTTTGTACTTTCAAATCGAATATAAGTGCATTTAACCGATAAGAAGTGAATTTCTACACTGTACCTTTCTAACATCAAGAGCAATAAAAACACTTGTAGCTCTGTTTTCGGAAACAGTTTTATAGTTAACAATACACACGTTTTGAAAAAAGCCTAAAACGCTAAACAGAAACATTTATTGCTAAAATGTAAGCTGATTAACGGTATATATGGAAGTTCAAAGAGCTTATCAAGGGCATAAAGAAAACCAACACTGGTAACCACTTTCGTATACAAATGTTTGCATTAAAAAAATCAATCTAAAAACCTCTATAGGCTATAATACAAAAGACAGTTTCGAGTTACATAGAGAAAATTGGAAGAGAATTTTAGCGAAACTCACAAATTTCACGTTGCCTTCTTTTAGCTTCTGTACTGAAACGATGTTTAGGTAGATTAGTAAAAAGTGGAACCAATTGACTTGAATTAACAACAAAGGGACCTGAGAGATTGTGTGGACTGACTTGATTTTCAATACTTTCCTCTATTGAATTATTAGTGATATTACGTGCTACTGAAGGCTCTGATAATGCAGGAGCTCGTGAATAACCTAACGATGTTGATGATATTGATAATAATCCTGAAGTTGTAGTAGCTGGAGCAGTCTGAGTTGATTCGCCATCTTCAATATTGTTTTCAATATGTGTATTCATACTACGACCAGTACCATTTGTTAGAGCACCCATACTTAGACTATATGCATTAGTTGAAGTTGGATTACTAAAAGAAAGATTTTCTTCAGCTACAGAAATTCCACTGAATGTAAAATGCAAATAAAATCAATGAAGAGAAGTTAATAGACAAATAATTTTATGTATATTTACGTAAATTTCTTTTCGAAATTATGATCATACTTTCAGATATATTAAAAAGCGTACTAACAATTAGCCTAATACAAATGAGTACATTTGACAATGCATATATTTATAAATTATATACTTTGGTAATCAGTCATATTCAATTTATAAAACAAAACATTTTTATAGTTTGAATTGCAAACTACGAAAAGCACAGCATTAAGAGTTATACAACGTAAAATTGGTGACATATTAATATCTGTTGAATATAATAAGTTTAGCATGAACTGAAGTAAACTAGCTTTCAGTTATAGTTTAGTTATTTTTTAATTAATCCTAATTCAGAGTGATTTAATAGTCATGTTAAAGCCTTTCTACATCAAACATAAGCACACATACTAGATCAACGAAACATTAAAAAAAAGATAAGGTGATCGTCATTTAAAATATTACATTATATATCTTTGACACCGAATGGCTAATACATTCTATCCAACAGAATTCGAGAACATGGTCCAGATTGACTGGTAACAGGCAAGAACAAATCAGTAAGAAGTTTCATAATCAATCACTTTGTGAACACAGGTGATTAGATCGAAACAGATTCAACACTCAAAGTTATTTATGGGGTAAGTAGAAACCTGACAAGGATAGTTAGCTTCCACCTTCTCAGAATTCCTGAAGCGTTTGCTACACAAACCAAAATTATGTATACAAAAGGAACTTATTCAACCTTTTAATTTATCATGTTTTTAATCTCATTTTCCAAAGTCACCAACCACGCCCTGATATTTTTTTCTATAAACCTTTCACTGCCAACCAACTTATTTCTGTTCTCACAATTATTAATCGTTATCTATTTTCTTGATAAATTTTCAAACTCTTAACAACCACATTGTTAGTTTCTTAAAAAGAATAAAATGTTTTTCTATTTCACCTCTCTGTTGTTAAGTTGAGCAAATGATTATTACTATCATTGATTTAGTAAAGCAAGTATTTATTTTTGAATGCCCAGAATTGAAAATCGATTTGCTAAAAAGAGAACTTTTCGCCAAACCAGTCTTTTTTACTCTTAAATTTCACGAAATCTGCAAAATCAGGCAATATCAATCTTTTGTTAAAAGTATCAATTTCACTCGTTAGTGGCTACCTATAAGGGATGATAGCTGGAACATAGCATAAAATAAAGTCCAAATTTATCAAACAGAAACCATTTTGTAGTGGTTATTTGAATCTCCCTACTGATATCTTGGTTTTGAAAATTCAGATAGGCAATTCAACTGTGCATTTGTAAACTTACCATATATCAGTGGGTAAACTAGTGGTTAACAGTGGTCTTCCAATAACTTCACGACGACATCGACCACTGAAATCAAGGGAAAAGTAGTGTAAGATAATAATAATAATAATAATAATAATAATAATAATAATAATAATAATAATAATACAATGAATTCAAGTTACTGAAAATAAATTTTAGTAGGATAATTCTTTACTTGTTTTAGGACCATTAAAATTTTAATGAAGTTTAATCCGTTGATGAATTTATTGTATGTATGACAAGAATTTTTGACTTTCTCGATTTACTAAGGAAAAAAATGCCCCAACAATAAAGCAAATGTAACATTTGATTAATAAGAACAAAAACTACGACAACCAAAACACAAAGATACCCCAGACGCACTTACGAAAATGTAAAGGTTCTTGTTCGTTGGAACAGTGTTTTCCTCGATTTAACCGGTTTGACAGATGAAGATTTATCTAAACTACAATTTGAAAAATAGGGGTATATATATGAATAAAGAGAAGTGTAGAGTTAATTATCGTATGAAACTGGAAAATGATAATAGACACGATAGTGATTGTGTTTGCTAAACGCATGGAGAAAAATTTACATTTTTGTCAAACATTCTAATTAAAAGTAAAAGGTTTTCTTTCTTCATGATAGCTGGAATTAGGTTAACAAAATACTGGAACCACTGCCCAACTGTGACTGGTTTAATCACAAATTACTCAATTTAGAGAGTATGTTTAAGGAAGGAGACAGTATGCAACCCAATATTTTAGATTTATTTATCAGCCGAAACAGTTTCATCTACTGATAGCATAAACTACATACACACATTATGTTATTGGATGATGAATGTCAAGTACTACCTAACTCGTATTCAAATGTGACAACTGACCAGATTATATGTGAATGATAGATAACCTAGTGTATTTTTTATCAATTGTGGATTCACTGTTGGTGCATAATAAAATTATTATTAGCAGTCTTACCTTCTTTCCTTGAGTCAAGCTGTGTCAATATTTGTTTGGTTATGACAACTAGCAAGTAACAATAGTCCCATAGTTATGAAAAGTTGTTACTATCAAACTTTTGTCCAGTTATGACTACGAGGTACAAATAGTCGCAGTTAAACACTATCATCACACTAAACATACGATTGTTGTACTTAAGCTTACACTAAAAGTTAACAAATGACACCACCTGATAATCGATCTGATCATGAGGTGTATGTATTAATTACATATTCGAAAATTATTACACCCCCCTCTCAGAACAGTAGATGATCCAACATATATCAATTTGTTCTAAGTTTAAAAAAACAAGTGATTACTGATTCCCGGATAGGTGTATTTGGACCACATAGGAATATAAAAATCAAATGCTTTATATTCCCGAGTTATACTATGAATTACAGTTTCATTAGTAATCTGATTAAACTAAAATTCTTTAAATCAGATGTAATTTTAAATCACAAAGCAAAAATACGTCGTTTTTTATTGATAATTGACCTACGGTATTTATTGCGGTGGTTTTACAAAAACCGCACTAATATGATTATTTATTTCAGAGTTATAATTTTTAAATTTAGGTATTCAAAATATTTATTCAACTCCTATCACTTAGTCTTTTTACTTTGTAGTGGACAATAACATTGAGGTTTTAGGTCAAGCTCTTAAACTTCAGAATAACAAGTCAATATCTAACGGTTTACATTCTTAACTCCAACCACTTTACAATATTGTTAATCAGCATATAATGGCTGAGCAATAACGTGAATTGATTGAAGTCAAACATGTAAACCACTGGATACGGGTTCACCAGTCTAATGGTTAAGTATGAAATATGGTCTTGGGTTAGGTAGCTTAATGGAGTCCTAGATACGCACTACTGTGAAGTCCTATGGTGAGAAGAAACAGTCGTTTAGAATCTCTTATTTCTGTGTCGTTTCAATCCACACTACTATTTCTGAACTAATTTTTAATCCACCTACATAAGGTTTACTTTACATCTGTTATACAGTCAATAGCATTAAGAAAAAAGACAAGCAGATTATTAAAAATTAATTAACATAGGGGATATTCACACCAACTACCTATGTGATAATATATTAAAATCAAAACAATAAACATTAGAACATATACACGCATATAGAAGTTTAAAATGTGTAAAAATCTGATTGATATTAAACATACTACGTACGTGAAAAACAATTGTCGATCTGATGCCCATTCCCATAAAGCTTGTGCAACAGACTTATTATCGCATTTATAATGAATAGTTGTTGTTGTCTGTTAGCGTTAATCCAAGCACATAAAGATTTCAGAAAAAGGAAGACAAATAGACAATTGAACAATAGTAATAATTATAATGATAATTAAGGAAGCTAAAACCGTACATTAAATGAACATACTAAAAAAAGAGTTAAGTTCGACAATTTTTTAACAACGACATTAGTAAAGCAAAACGCAAATATCTAAGCAAACACAAAAGAGAAAATTGCCCTCACTTTAAATAAATAAATACATAATTTTAAAACGGAGCACAAGTAATAATAATAATAATTAGTAGCGCCCATCAGAATAAAAGTTGTCATTTGCTATGATCACACATGCGCATACCTACAAAATCAATAACAACTGGAAAAAAACGTAGCAGTGTTCAGCTATCCTGTAGATTTTCTTTTAACTGTGTCGTTCAAATTCAGACGACAGTAAACTACTTTCAATGAATTACATAAACAATTTTTTAGTTTAAAAAAAATTAATTTTCATCAATGGGCAAGTCAATCGATCAATCAAATGAAAACAATGATATTTCATGAAAGTTGAATTTGATTTTGTATACAAACAAACAGTTGATCGAAGAGGATATTTTTCCTCATTGAAAGAAAAAGCAAACAAAAAAAACTACCAACTAAAAAGCACATAAAATGTAAGTAAAACACTGCAAATTCACTCGCCGTAACAATTTTATAGAACTTACTTAATGTAAGCAATTATTTTATGATGACAAAAGAAATCTTGCATACAACAACAACAACAACAACAGATGCACTAGGATAGTTTGAAAGAAGGAAAATATAAAAAGATACGAGAGAAAACTTTCTATATCACTTTTTCAACAAGAAAGTTACGAAGTAATTTTGTGTATGAATTAAAACAAAAAAGAACCGTCGTGATAGTTCAGTTTAAATATATCACTTCAAGCATTCAGTCTAAACACAAACAAGTATACCCTTTGAACTATTGCTCAATTTATGAATTCATAATATCAGTGTGCCACAGAGCACAAGTTGCGACAAGATGTTTATTATCGCAACGGTATACAAATAATTTTGTTTTGGAAATGTTGTTATAATTGATTATCTACAAAGTATTGAAAGCTTTGTTGAAAAAATCTGACGTGCGATTGTATGCAACATATGATCAAGGGGAATGGCTATTAAAATAAGTAAGCTTTCATTCATGTCAGCAAAGACAATCATTAAAAATAAATTCATTTTTCTCAGTGATTCCAAGCTAACTAATTAAAACATTGTCAATGCAATGAACTGACTTGCAGATGTTTTTGTGGACCAATGCAACCATACTTATGAATGTGATTAGAAGGTAGTGGTTCCAGGATAATATAAATTATTATTATCATTATTGATAAAGGGAAGAAAATTGAAAGTTTAACAGGTGAGTAGTTTTTTTATCTAGCTATCGTAGAGTTTTGAACTATGGATAGCAATCTATGTAAAGAACAGTTTGAAAAAAAGCAATAACGAAAGGGTTCTATTGATATTTTTATAATGCTCATGCTTTTATCATATATTTGACATAAAACTATTAAAGTGAATGAGACATTCCAATCCCTATACACAACATTTACTTATATACAGCTCACGTATGACAACGTTATAATATATACATTCCATGATTCCATTATTAAGGTCATACATTCAAGCAAAATAAAATGACCAGTAAAGTTAGTTACCTTTTTCTTTCGTCCAGGATGCTATTAAAATGTCAAACAAAATAAAATTGAAATATAAGGAAAATTACCTGTCATAAAACAAATATTAACTTCAATTATTAGCTCATTGTGCTTTCTATTCAAGTGGTCACTAACTCGAACAATAGGACAGAGAGAAAATTGTCAACAACCAAGAATACCAAAAAGATAAGAGTACCAACTAACATGTATGTGATTTCGGTGATCGAAAGTGTATATGCGATCGTAAAAATGCACTAGTCAGTTTTTGTTCATGTTATAATAAAGTGTTTTTAATTACTAATTTCCCAATGATTTCTTAAGAACTGGAACTTGAGAATTTAACACTGAACACAATTATTTATTTTACAAAGGTTGTTGAACAAATTAATTTTATAGAAAATGTAAATCTATAGAAACACAATACGCAAAGAAACTTGATACTGATATGCTGGACTGGAAAAATTACCTATCATTGAAAAAAAACAGGAAATTGCATAAGCTTTTTTGAATACTGATAAATCCATGACATCTAGCTGATAGTCACTATAGATACATGTATTATGTCTCATTATATCTTGGGTGAAAGGGTAGCTATGTAATGGATAATATTGAATAGAAGCCTTTAACCGATCTACTACTCTAATTTTGAACAAAGATCATAAATACATAAGTCAATTGATAATTTCCTGGTTTGATTTTTTACTGAATATTATTGAACACTTTAACTGCTATGACTATGTCAAAGACTGGTAAGTAGACTATTTACAACCATACTGATCAGAAAATGTTACAATTAGAGAGTATACACAAACTAGGAAAATTGGTAGTTTCCAAACAAATTAATAACAAAAGTTACAGAAATATAAGTCAAGCGAGTTTCTCAGGTGAACAAACACATCCAGTTAAAAATTGAATCTAAAGCTCTCCCCATTTTCACAGCTTTCAAGTGATGGAGATGCCCAACAATTCACAATTCAGGTTAATAAATAGATAAAAAGAGTGTTTTATCGTGATATACAGTTAACAAAACTAGTCAACGGCGGAATAAGTGCTTAGTAGATCAAACAAGATAAGATAAGCAATAAACATTAAGACAAGAAGAACAGTAACACTATGTAAAATGAAAAAGTTCTCCGACAAAACGGTTAGAATTTTATCACCTTTGTGTTTACGTGACAAACACACGGTATTGATACACACGAAAACCTATAATGGTCAGGAAGTATGCTTGGCAGCATAAAGTTATTTTATGCTGATGTACAGGAAGATTCCTAAGACTTGAAATCTACTTATGAGAAGACCACTATCCAACCCACGAAGTTACTACTTAAACTAGATTAAAACAAATAGCATTATATATATATATATATATATATATATATATATATATATATAACACATAAAAACTAATAAAACAAAGTTTTTGTGTCTAATGAAGTTTAATCACATCAGAATTAGTTTATGAGTTCGAAATAGTGCATAAATTGAAAACAGTTAAAATAATAAATAAATTTTTTAGTTAACATCCTTATCGTGAAAGCAGTAGTCCTATGAGATCAGCAATAAAAAAATAGGAAAAATTGAAATAATAAGATGAAGAAACTTACTTGATATGAAGTTGCAACAACAAAATCTCTGCCATTACAAGTCATCCAAGAGATAGCTGACCTGAAAGTCAAATATAAAATATTGATGATCAGTAAAAGAACTATTGTAAATCGACATATAATTTAAAAGACTAACAAAAAGTTTTAATGAAAATGATATTCGCCAGGTTACAAAACAAAATGCTTACATACATGATATAAAACTAATAATAAAATGAAACTTCTCGTTGGAAATAAAACATTTTTAAAAATATTTTCTGAGATTTTTCTTAAGAATAATGCTTTAATTAAAAAAGAGGGAGGATATTTTCTATTATAAAGTATATACTAGATAAACATGAAACGAATGAATCTAAATCACTTTAGTTAGTTCTACTTAACCCACGACATGATGCGGTTTGTGCCACTGGTGTCAGCAGTTATAAGTAGTATGTATCAACAATTGAAAATGGAATGCCTGGAGGCAGAAGGTTGAGAAGATCGAACAGAAGAGAACAGGAACAGAATAATTGATGTGGAAATGAAGGAACAATAAAGTTCGAGACAATTGATGGACATTTTGCAAATGAAGTATTTACTATATGGTTCTCAGATTTTACTAAAAGATTCTGTAATTTTGTATTCAAACACGTTCGGCTGTCCCCACTTGTGTTGTCGTTCACTACAACGACACAGATGTGAATCTATTCACTTTATTAATTAATAATATTTTTGATGTTGAAAAAGAGAATTATGAGAATGAGTAAACCATTATTTTAAGCTAGTTCACATATAAATATTACGCTAAGATCTGTTACAGATGCGACTGATGGCTAAGAACTGAGAACTTCAAGGAACAAGTAAACTGTAGTTCAATCAACAAAACGATCAAAAGATGACAGTAAATGATAATTTAATCGAGATATCACACTAATTTAATTTCTCATTCGCGAAAAATGTACACAAGAACAAAAGAATCAAACTTTTATTTACGACTTCCCATTAGTGCTTTCGTTAAGTGGATGATAAATGGTGATATTACAATTACTTCACCAAAGATACAAACGAGAAGGATAAACTCCTAATGACTAGATACTCGGTGTAAAACAAATCTGAAGATACTATTCGGTATATTGTCAACTAATAGAGGCAGGTGAAATGTAGAAGTTTTCAGTCTTTTTTTGTAACTACTAATCCTACTTCTAGTTCGAGTCCTGGAGTAAACATCAACCCTCGGCTGCAGGCACGTTCGGATGACGAGTACAGAAGGGGACGAAACGTGCGTCCGAAGTTCCACTGCTACCTATCACATATCTCCGTTTTCGTTTAATGCTAATGCTTTTGTGTACAGAACATTCATTTCGACATGTAACATCGATTTGTGGGTGAGAATGATTGGTTGTTTCCCTAGTCAGACTTCTAGATAGTTTGACAGGCGTTAGATGAATTATATGTTCTCCTGTCCTTATTACTATTGTGATTTTTGTTGGATTATGTCTGATTGTTGTCGGTTTTTTTGGTGTGGAAATATATCTACGTTCAAGTCAAGCTACTCATGTGTTATTGACTCGAGTTGTGTTGAAATATTGTAGAACAGACACTGGGAGGGAATCTAGTGTAGATATTTTTCTAAGGCAAATTAACGTCAAGTTCGTGTAGACGTGCAAAACTAAGCGTTATAACAAATATATTAGTTAGATTATTTGTTTGTTTTCTGTTCATATATAAAAATCAATCTATTCACTATTTACAATAAAACCAATGAATTGGACGATTATGCAAAATTATGCATCCTAAAAATCAATTAAATAATTTAAAAAAAATGATAAAACTAGAGATAATCTACCATGGATATAACTTTTGGCGCCGGTTGCCTATAAATTCAGCTACACCTTGATGAGTAAGACCCAAGTGTATGTGTCGTGAGCCATAAGCTTTAGTCTGAAGCAGCAAAAAAGAAAATAAAGAGATTTTAAAGTAACATACTTTCACTACTTTATTAACGAAAACTGAACCTGTATGTTACTGTACTAAGCATCTAACAATACATCATACACTGAAAACAAACAGTACAATTTTATAAATATATTGTATTCTTTAGAAAATAACAGGAGTACATGATTCATAAAGAATAAATTGTTGAAATCTATATGGGCACTTGTCAAACTCTAATACTCAACGCATTGTCAATGAAACATTTCAGGTAGTTAAAGTATTTTAAACAACCTTTTTTCAGAAAAGCAAATCACTAGACATAAACTGACGGATGAAAACTACTGACATTACATTCTATGATCATGATGAAAACAATAATCAGCACCTTTAATTTAAACTGTAAGCATTAATGACAGTATGCCCATATTACGATCTTAAATGGTGGATTAGTTTCAACAGAGTTAATAATTTTTTAAAAGTACAATATCAGTCACTTACACATTGAAGCTATCATTATAAGTAGACATATTAAATACTGATACATTACGTACAGTTGTTAAACAAAGATAGAATGTGATATTATTCTTCCTACCTAGTATGTCCAGTGTGTATGTACGAAGTGAGCTGTTAATACCTTTTTATGAAGTTTGAGAAAAGTTCAACCCAATGAAGAAAACATTTCCTTCAAATTCATAAGGCACTTCAATTGAGGTCATGGTACCATAGGGAATATACAAGATCAGGATCATTATCGACCTTCTGCTTTAACTAAAACAACAAAAACCTTCGATCTCTTATGTTTGCTGATCGCCAATCTACTATCTAAATGAATAATGATTTACTCAATTTCGAAAAATTATCTGTTTATATGATTTCAGTAAAAGGTTAAACGTTGAAACAGCTGAAAAAGATGATCTCTGAATCCGTCAACGGAAATTTTGAACAGCGAAGATGAAGATAAAACAAATGCATTGCCAAATACGGGAAGTAGTTTGAAGAGAATAATATTAATTTACCTTTAAATTTTTTTTTAAATTTCAAGTACTGATAATCTCACTTTGAGTATTTAATAGACAAATTACCCATTCACATAAGATGAAAACTTCGAAAAAAAAATCAAATGAAAACAATATCTAATGTGATTTGTTTAGTTTTGGTATCCATGATATTAAAAATGAATTAAACCATTAATAGTCTATAAAATCTTCATAAGTTTCATTAGTAAAACACAAAAGATTATAAAACGAATCAATGAGAAAAATTTCTAATGAATTATAATTCTTCTCTTAAATTAATCATATAAATAAAAACTTAATAATAGTTCAATTAAAGAACAAAATCAGAATAAAAATAAGAAGGTAACTATATTTGGAAAAAAAAACAAAACTAGACAAAATTAGGATTATTTTATTTAAGTCTAGAAATTCTATACAGATAGAATGAAATTGTCAATTAATAATAAACAACATTATTATCGTATCATTTTGTATATAATCTGATTAAATAAGAAAGTATAGAAACACTTAAAACAATTGTAACATGATACATATTATCTTTATGCATAATTAAAAAGCATTTATAAAAGAATAAGAATAGAAAAAGATATATTATCTAAAAGTTAATTAATTAAAGATGATTGAATACAACACACTAATGAAATTATTCAACTCGGATACGAGAACATATCCCAGCTTGGTTCTATAAGGGTGAAAGGAAAGCAGTTAGGAGTTCTATACTTAAACACCTAATCGACTGTAACCATTCTACAGATCCACAATTTGATTTTAAGGTTGTTTATATGATTCGTTCAAATCTACCCAGATTTCTTCGTATCCAACTCTTAAAAATAGCCGAAGCTCTTACCATCCAGGAGCTTAAACCAGAAATATGCGTACAAAAGATGTACGTCTTATCGTTATCGTTACCTTGGCCTTAATTATTTTGATTATCCTATTATTATTATTACTGCATCCCCCCTTTACTTATGTCTTATAATCTCATTATTTTATTCGTAAATGCTCATTATATCACCTTACTTATTTCTTACACCTTTATGACCTTTAATTATTGTAACAAAAAACATTTTAATCATCTTATTATATTTACTAAATCTATTGTTATTATTCGTATTACGTAATCAAGTATTATAATCTTTTTATTACTACATGGTTAATTGTGTTCACATTTTCTCATGGAATTAGTACTTTAACAAAATTTTCATATATATATATACGATTGTACAACTTGATAGTAAATTCGTTGAAAAGAGATCCCTTCGCCGAATTTCATGTTTTTACATTTATACTTTATGCTGAACAAATTGTCAGAAACTTACTAATTATTAAAAGGATAATCTAAAAATGGTTATATTTTTTAAAAGGTGTTTTTTGTTCTAAAAAGAAAACAAAGTAACACTTTGATAGATTAACCAAATCAACTGGGAATATTAAAAAAAATTATGACATAATATTAGTAAATAATTGTAATTAGTCAAATTCGAATGACTAAATCAGCATATAATAGAAGGTTTATCAATTTCTAACTGAACAAACTAGTTACATTTTAAGAAATAGAATCAAGAACAAAGACATAATGCCCCCAAATGCCCTGGTACGGCCGAGAGTCCGCTCTCCCTCTCGAAATACTCTCACACAGCCCTAACACATATCGAATGAGATTTGTGTGGCGCATATGTATTTGGTACCTCTTTGTACCATTATCTATGTGTTGAAATAAATAAATAATAATAAATAAACCATCATAATAATCAGTAGAGATTGAAAACAAAAATAGCAAGACATATCAGCTGTGTTTGTACCAAATAACCAACAATATAACAGGTTTGGAATAGAAAAAAAGTAGAAAGTTGAATAAAGGAAAATATTCACCAGTTATAAAAGAGGATAATGTGTATATCCCTTTAAAAATTTGCACAGTATCTCATTCTTTGGTAATGAGCACATTAATGACCACTAATAAAAACAATCGAGTAACCCACATACATAAGTTCGTAAATTTCGAATGACTATAAGCATTCACAGTCATTGTTCTTATAGTATACTCAAAACTAACCTAGAGAGATTGGGACTTAACCAGGGAAGTAAAAGTAACAGAAATAGATTTTTAAATAAGATAAACACGGACTATGAGGAAAAATCATAGGTACCTAGAACCTGTTGACCAAGGAGTATATTTAGTGTAGAAGGAATCAGAAAAATTAATTATTAATGCCATTTCATTATTCATTAGCTGAAGAAAAAAACACAACTAGAATCCCAAAACTTTTATTCCTTTAATAAAATAACTAAATTTTTCTCTTTTTGAAATAAATGGATAAATATTTCCCTATCAAGTGCCCACCCACCCTCTCACAATGTCACTGATATACACAAGTTTTTAGAAAATTATGATAAAATATCAAATAAATGGTGAAATGATTGTTTAGCTCTAATTTAATTATCCAAAGAAATTAGGATAACAGAGGAAAATCTTAAAGATCATTCCATAAATAATAGTTAGTATAATAACAAATTAAAAGACGGATGAATTATTTCGTCAAAGAGCCAATTGTTAACATTATCAGCACAAAGTAAAAGATTAGAAATCTAAGTTAAACAACGAGGTCTCTTATATATGTATATTATTATCTGAACACACAAATATTGGTATAAAGGGGTACTGAAGTAAACATGCACCACACGATAAGAAAATAAGGTTGTGAGGAGATAGTGGAGAGCTCAATAAAGAAATGAATAAATGAATAAAAAAGTATTCTTCCAGTCAAAGAAGTTACTCTCACTTTTATGAACAAAGTGAAAAAAAGTTACAGCAGGACTGTCACTGACTTCTGTTCTGAACCATGTCTGAATTATCGTCACTGTGCCCAAACATACGTTGCTGAACATCTGCATGTTGCCACTGAGTATCAGCAATCCTTCGGAGACAACGATAATCAAACACAGGGAGTTGACTGATATTTTCAATTCCCATAGGCCAAGTTTTACAAACAGGGTGAAACTACTCTCATCGATACGTTGTAAACCCGAAATGAAGGTCAGACAGCGCCGAAGATGGCCCAGATTGGCATAGATCGATCTTGTTTCCACTGTACGTAAATTGGTCTCATCAGTCATATGACGACCACCATTTACGCAGCTACCCAAATAAACGAGCTTTTCGATCATATATATAATGTAGATCATTTCGCTTTTGCGCGAACACTAGTAATATTATAGTTACTGAGATATTTCATGCAAATTACCGAATCGGATAACTATATGTTATAACATTCACTGATTTAAATAGTTTGATAAAGCAACAAAATGTCAATTGTTTAGAGAGATTATTATGTCCGGTAGATCATACTGATCTCAAATGGACAGTTATTTCTTCCTAATAAGAAACTCTTCGATCTTCGACTTTAATTATCGAAACGAATGAGGACCGCCGATATGTTGGTGTAATTTGTTCCAGAAACAGCTTTATTTTACCATAAAAAGAATGTGTATGTTGTTACAGTACATTCAAGAAAATAATAACTGCTAACTTATTGGTGGTTACAAATAGTTGTATAAGTTAGACCAAAGTAGTTCGTACAGCAAAGATAAAAGACACATAAAACAAAAATGATGAGGCGTTTTGAAATTTAAATGTAACTGATTCATTTTAATACTGAGTATTATTTACTCCGTATGAACTCTCTGGAGAACTACAGGAACCCAGAAATACTTTTTATGATGATCTACTATATGAAGTGGGAAAAACGTGTAAGAATAATCATTGCAAAGAAATGCATGTTTTAGAAATTATCTGCAACCAGCTGTTATCTTAGATAGTTTAGTGATAAAGTCATTAAGATTTTGTTCATTTAGCTCTCGTCCTGTGTAGTTTAGTTTGGGCAACCGATTAGCACTACTATTTCTTATATCAAAAGTACAGCTTCAAGTTCAGTATACCAACAAGTAATTGGCTATTGGATCATATTATATTAGATTTATCAACAATTA